AAAAAAAACAGCGCTAAATAGAAAATCTGATGTTCAAATACAAGACTCAAGAGAAAAATAAAAAGGTAAACATGAAAGAGTAATAATAAGGGACTCAATAAAATTAAACTTTTTACATTCCTAATTGGAAGATGATACATATAACTCCTAAGAACTTTATCATTATCAGGGCTGTTAAAAGGAATTTACATAGACAGTGGCAATGGATGTGAGTCAATTATGTTGGAATGATTTTAAAAAAAAGACTTCAGAAAGATGTATTGGGAGTTGGAAGAGGTAGATTGGGGAAATTTTTTCTCACATAAAGGAGGTGCTCCAGGAAGAACTTTTACAATAGAGGAGGAAATGGGGGTGGGATGGCAGGCAATGCTTGAAGCTCACTCTTGTGAGAATTTATTCAAAGAGGGAAGAATACATATACACACTCAGTTATGTTCAGAAATGTAACTTACTCAATAATGCAATAGGAGAAAAAGGGGATAAGAGAAAGGGGGAGGATGATAAAATGGATGGCAGATTAAGAGATGCAGTGGTTAGAAGTAAAATAGACTTTTGAAGAGAGGTAGGATAAAGAGAGAGAGAGAGAGAGAGAGAGAGAGACAGAGAGAGACAGAGAGAGAGACAGAGAGAGAGACAGAGAGAGAGAGAGGAAACAGAACATAACTGGATGAAGGGAAATACACAGTTAGTAATTATATCTATGAATGTGAATGGGATGGACCCACTCATAAAATGGCAGCAGAAAACAGAATGGATTAGAAAACAGAATCCAGAAATATGCTGTTTACAAGAGACACAGAATGACACACACAGCCAAATAAGGACTGGAGCAGAATCTAATATGCTTCAGGTAAAGTAAAAAAAGACAGGGGTAGCAAACATGATCTCAGACAATACAAAGGCAAAAATGGACCTAATTAAAAGACATAATCAGGTAAACTACATTTTAAGAAAAGACACTACAGACATTGAAGTAATGCCAAAAATTTGTACAAAACATTTTTTCTGATGTATGCCTCATTTCTCAAACATATATACTGAGTATAGAACTAAATCAAATTTATAAGAGAGCCATTATCCAATTGATAAATATCCAAAGGATATAAACAGACATTATATTTAGAAATCAAAGTTAACTATAATCATATGAAAAATAGTTCTGAATCACTATTGATTTATTAATGCAAATTAAAACAACTCTGAAGGACCATCTCACACCTATCAGAAATGACAAATGCTGGAGAAGATGAATGAAAATTAGGTACACTTATGAACCTAATGGTGGAGTCATGAACTGGTCCAACCATTTTGGAGAAAATTTGGAACAATGCTCAGAAAGCTATAAAATTGTGCCTATCTTTTCACTCAACAATACCACCACTAGATCTGTATCCCTAAGAGATCAAAGAAAAAAGAAAATGATGTATATGTACAAAAATATTCATAGCAGCTCTTTTTTATGGTAGCAAAGAATTAGAGATCTAGGGAATGATCATCAATTGGGGAATGGGTGAAAAAGTTATGGTATATGATGGTGATGGAGTATTATTGTGCTATAAAAAACAATGAAGGGAGTGGTTTCTGAAAAAAAAATATGGAAAGACCTGAGTGAGGCAAAGTGAAGTGAGAACTGGAAGATCATTATGTACAGCAACAACAATGTTGTAATGATGACCAATTGTGAAATATTTGACTACTCTGATCAATACAATGATCCAAGATAATTCCAAAGGACTAAAGATGAAAAAAAAATGCTATCTATCTCCAGAGAGAAAACCAATGAACTCTGAGTGTGAAGTGAAGTATAATTTTCTCTATTTTCTTGCTTTTTTAAAAATATAGCTAATATGGACATTTATTTTACATGACTTCACATGAATAACTAATATCATATTGCTTGCCTTCTCAGTGAATGGAGAAGGGTGAGGGAGGTAGAGAATTTGGAACTCAAAATTTGAAAAGATAATAATCTTCATAATATAAAAAGCTTACCTTTAAAAAGTCACCTTAAAAGAAACAATAAAATTCATCAAATATGCTCTTAAGCATGATTCTAGAATACATATTTTTCCTATTCCTAGGTACATGTTCTTTAAAGGATTTTCAGAAGAGTTTAGTACTCTCTTTTTAGCATACATTTTGTATGCAACCAGTTAGTTAGCTAGATGCACTAGGGAAAAAAAGACTCAAGTTGTGTTTCTTTATGTGTATGCATATATGCATTTATTTAATGAACATATTAATAACTAAAATACATACATTAAAATGGAGATAGTGCATATCCAGAGCAAGATGGCAAATTAAATGAAGTGCTCTTCAAATGAAGGTCTATTATAAACAAGTGACTATAAGATATACCTCATTGGTTATGCCAAGGTCAATCATCCAGCCTATCTTGCTTAGGCATGATTGAATATTTTGCAGCAAGGTAGGGAAGGTGTTTTCAAAAACACAGTCATTCCTGACTTCTTTTTTGCCCCATTCAAACCCGAGAACTTTAACTTTCCTAAGTCCCCATGAATTAGATCACAAGATGAATTAAACCTATTTTTATCCATCTAATGATAGCTTAAAGTAATAGCTAGAACGTAACAACATATTTTCGAGTATAAGAAGATGGTGACAACCAGAAGATATTGCTGTACTGTGATATTCTCATCAAATTGAATATTCAGAAATTTGTGTTTGCAATAAGTCAATTTAGTAGCTTACATATAATTTCTTAGACTTCTCTTAAAAAGAATAAGCAATGTGGTCTCCTACTGTAAATATCACCTCACCATCAATTGGTTTAAATAATGAGACACCACTAATGAATGAAAATACAACCTGAACTCATTTGATCTTTCTAAATGGGCACCAGTACAGTTTCATTATTTATGCATATGATGCCATTCAGGGCACATAATGTGCCAGGAAGTAAAGATACTTAACAGCTATTTAAAGAATAAAGCTTTGAGAAACATTTGGCAAGTTAATTTTTAAAGGACCATTGACCATGACATCCACTTTGCATTTGCAATTTTTGCACCTGCAATTATTTGCATGCAAAAAAATTGCAGCCACAGTTGTCTAATTGTAGGCACAACCATCCAAATTTGCCCTCAAAAGGAGATTAACACAAAAGGGATACCATCTGTGATAGTTCAACAAACCCCTCAGACCTCTATGGCTTCAAAACCTGAGAGGCTGGTGGGCATCTTTCCCTCTTGGCTCAGGGTTTAGACTTCACTCCTGCTTGATCTCATTCAAGCACTCCAGGCCAGTCTGATTATTTGGAAAGCAACAGTCCAATCCTTTCATCCAGCCAATCTGCCTTCTTACACAAATATTAAAAAAAAAAAGGGAGTGGGAAGGGGAGCTTTTCTAAATCTCCAACTCTTCCTTCAGGAGCCAAAGTGTAATAGGAGCAAATTGTTTTGTCTTCTCCTGTAGGGTGAACAGGTTCAGTTTCTAATTCACTTCAATATTTCAAAAAGCAATTCACTAAATGTATGTGTGTATATGTATATGTATATATACTTATATACGTATACACATATATAAATGTATGCATATACATGTGTATATATGTATATGTGTATGCACATATGTGTGTATATGTGTTTGTGTATACATATATAGGTATATATGTATGTATGTATGTATGTGTGTCTGTGTATAATCTTCAGCAAACAGGAATTGTCTATAAAAATGAAATCCTCTGCTCAAAGGTGTCATGAAAATCATTGTTTTACTTTTTTAAAGTTCTAGCCCTTTGTTTGAAATATATGTATACATGTATATATGTATATATGTGTGTGTGTGTATTTAATATCTGCTGCCACTTTTGATCAAATGTCTTCATTTATGTTCCTTTTATAATATTAAAGCCAGTCAAGACATATAATCATTGTCCTCTGGCAGATGATGTTTTATAAAAAGTCATAATCCCCTGCTTGTAATACAATCACTACTACAATAAATAATTATAGAACCATAGAAGGACAGTTATGATTTCAGATGGGGAATATATAATAGCAGATGAAAAATATAAAAGCCAGATTATCCCTTGACAAAGATGCTGTTTTCATACAAATGTCAGTAATAATAAATGTGAGGAGAACATAGTCCATTTTATGAAGACAAAATTGAATCAAAAAAGAACATTTTTTTTCAAAGGTTTTGATGAGTTGAGATTTTTAAAGGCATATAACACAGTCAAAGCTGATATGTACTATAATTGCAATGAAATTCAGGGACTAGAAGGTGGAAAAATGAGACAAGTTATGGGGCCAGCCACTGAAACCTTGTGAGTCCTATGTAAGGATGAGAAGTAATCACTAAGGTGCCCTTTCTGTAAGAGTTGAAATGCTTTCACAATTTTGTAATGAGCTAGACAGTCAACAAGCATTTATTAAAAGCTAAACGTGTGTTAGGCACTATGCTAAGCTCCTGGAATACAAAGAATGGCAAAAACATGATCCTTACCATCATAAAGCTTCCATTCTGGTTGTTTTGCTTTGTGAATAAAAGTCTAGGAACAAGTTTTCAGTCTAACATAAGTAGTAATTTGTAATATTATTTAAAGGGAGACATTTTCATTCACTACCCTCATATTTCTCACTTGTACAACCCTGACAAGAAGTTGAAGTCATATACTTCAGTAATAAATAGTGGGATAGGAAACAGATGAAGGAAGAGATCTGGCCTTTGTAAGAAATAATTATATGTAGGTAAAGAGAAAGGCGGGAGGAGGAGAAGAAAAAAGTATTCATGAATATGAAGAAACGAGCAGTAAGCATGGTTCTGAAAGGGGCCAGTGGGGCAGGAAGAATGGAAATAACAGTTCAAATGCATAATTAGGGAAGGTCACTTTGTGCTTCCTACCTATAAGTTTCTCAAAGAACATTAAAAAAAAATCAATATATCTTTTTCAGGTACAATGAAAAATTGTACGTTTTAACTGTTTTATGTTGCAAAAAAAATTCTGATAAAGTAGAAAAGATGATAATACTTACATCCTGAGCTACCATTGGTTGAAACCAGTGTAAAATTAGAAGGCCATGGATTGCGAACAATATCTTGCCAATGAATGGTGTCTGCATAACAGAGGAATTTGTTCTGGTCAACATATACTCCTCCATTTAAGATTTCTGTAGAAATGAAAAACAAGGATTTTAGATTAATTTATTGAATTGAGGGGGGAAGATTGGGGAATTACTATAGCATGGCTTACACTAGTACAAAGCTGATATAACCACACAATACTCATTATATTAAATGGAAACTGCACAATTACTATTAAATGCACAACTTCAAAGGCCCAGGAGCTTGTAATCATCGGAAAACTAAAAAAAAAATCTATTTAATCACAGAATAGTTAAGAATAGTTAAATGACTTTTGACAATTTCATCAGGTGGAGTCAGCTCTTTCTAACAGGAATAGAAAGAAAAATGCATTAAACTTCCATTATGACACAGTTCATTGTATTTGGATTCAGATCTACTAAGGGCCAAATGGCCTAGATACAGGGGTGGGGAATCTGCAGCCTCAAGACCACATGTGGTCCTCTAGTGCAGCTCTTTGACTAAATCCAAACTTCACAGAACAAATCCCCTTAATAAAAGGATTTGTCTGTAAAATTTGGACTCAGTCAAAAGGCCTTACCTGAGGACCTAGAAGGCCACATGTGGCCTCAAGGCTGCAGGTTCCCCACTCTTGGAGAACCTAAACAGCTCATATGGCAAAAGTCTACCTTGGTTGGCTTTTATAAACAACATTGAGGGCACTGCTTATAAAAGTTCTGTATTTACCAATGATAATTATTTCAAAGATCAGGTAACCTCTCCTTGCTCTTTTCTGAACACTAGCAACATATATCCTCTATTTTCTCTAAATGAAATGTATCCTAATTCATATAGTACAAACGGAAGAATATTGACAAAAAAGATCAGAAGAAATGCATACACTAGTTGTGTGACCTTGAGGAAGTCACTTTTCCTCAAATTCCTTGTCTGTAAAAGGGGGGTAAATAATAATTCTACTACCCTCTTCATAAGGCTGGCAGAGGGAAGGTACTTTCTAGTGCTCTAAGTAAACATGGACTACCGGTAGTGTTAACTTTACAACTTGAAAACTGCATTTTATTTTACATTTAATTTCATTTTAATCTTATTGTCTAACATGAAAACACTTTGTGTAATATTGGTTATCCTTAAAGAATAGGAAAAAAATGAATTTTTTAAAGAAAGTCCATTGAAGAGGATCCTGAAATGTATGTAGAGAACTCTTTTCAAACCAACATATGAATGATAAATATGTAGTTATCCATCTGATATGATTGGGAAGATATCCCAAAGGAAAATCTGCCTCAAAAGTAGAATCAAGAGGATGGGGTTGATGCAGGTTTTGTTTTCTTATAATCTGTGTGACCTTGGATAAGTTTTCTTTTCCCTTTACGGAAGCCTCATGTCTAAAATATCTGTTAGAAACAAATTTCTCTAATAAACATTTTTCTCTAAACAAATCATCTTTCAGAATACAAATACTGCTGAATAGGTCATCTGATTAAACACTAGTAACTTTGTGAGGATGAGTTTACTAAATAGCTTTTCTCCCTAACCTGAAGGATTTGGAGTAGCACTGCTTCTGGGGTTGTCAGGAACTGTGAAAATAGAAGGACATAGCTTTACCTAGGATATCTCAGAGCCCTAAAATATACATGTCCCTGGAGAATTTGTATTCCTTAAACATGTAGCAACAGCTGAGCTTTGCATCGATTAGTAAGAATCATTAATAAAGTAAGAAGTCACCAGAGACAGAACAGCTACATCCCCAAGTAAATTCTACCACTTAATCCAAATACTCCTCATCCCTACACATGCTCCCTTCCCTGAAGCAACATTTTGGTATCCTGAGCACAAAAGCCAAACTTGGCTTGTTTCTCATTTTTGTAAAAGGCTACCCTTGGCTGAACTAATGTTATCCTTTATGGCCAATGGCGAACTCTCCACCAAATAGTTCTCAGTCATATAGTCATCTTGTCACCCACTAACACATTTAAGGTTGCTAGGGGTGTATTCTCTGAGCATATAGGGCAAAGAGATGCATATTATCATGATAATAAAAGCCTGTATTTATGTAGACATTAAAAAAAATTATCTCATCTGATCCCCAACAACCATATGCTATCATTTCCATTTTACAGAAACAGAATCTAAGGACAGGAGAGATTAAAAAAATTTGTCAAAGTTTATACAGGTAGCAAATATGTGGGGCAGGATTTGAACTCAGGCCTTCACATCCACAGGAAGCATACACAGTAAAGACCACATTGAAGTTTGGTGTCAGATAACCTGGGTTTGAATCTTAGCTTTTTCACTACATTACCCATGTGATGCTTTAGACCTCAATACTCTTATCTGTAAAATTAGAACATTGAACTAGATAGCCTGGGAGATCCCTTCCCTCCCAAGATTTGGGACTTAGAAAACTATGACTTAGTTTTCAAAGTATAAATTACCACAAATCTTTCCAGGGACTGGATTCTTTTTCTCAAAAGGTCATTGGAGAGGATATAGGTATAGGACTTTGATAGTTTGACTTACAAGTTGGAACCTCATCCTTTTCACCCCACGACTTTAACCACAAAATTTTTATTGAAGTTCAAGGGAGATACAAGAGAAATTTTGGAAATGGATCCTTACATCAATATTCCAGACTCAGTTTTGATATAAGAATTGTTAAAGATCACATAAGCCATCTTGGGATGCTCTCTTACTCTGAAAAAAAATCACTCCTCATTATGAAGAAAAATGCAAATTTTGACTACTCTGAATAAAATGAAGGGTGTTATTTTTTCTTTTTCAGTCTATATGTCAAGGTAGTTCCCTCTCTCTTAATTATGTGAAAGGAAAAAAGTTCTGTGGTTGTAGCCCCTGAAATTGTGACCTAAAAGTCACAATTATAATCAATAACAGAGTAAATATATATGAATAACTTGAAGATGAATATGTATTAAAAATAAAAGCAGATGCTGCAGAAAGAAATCATTATTTATGGTATTATCTCCAACTGTCTATCTAAAAGTACTTAAAATCAGATTATATTTGTATGAAATAATCTGCTCCAGGCTATGAGTCAGGCTAGGGATGATACTTAGTTCCTAGAAACAGGTGATTCAAACGCTTGACTTCTACACTTAAAGAGTTTAAAAATTATATAATAACAAATAGAGTATAATCTTAGTTGATAAAAATTTAAATGAAGAATATAATAGTGATATTTTTATGATGCCCAGAATACTAAATCTAGCATCTGGTAGCAATTCTGATTTGGGAGATATATAATCTTTTGTACTTAACTATGGGCAATTCATGATTATTTTTTATTTGTTTTCTTTTTTTTCCCCTTTGTCTCACTCCTACAGACTAGCTCTTCTAATCTGTATGTGGATTATGGCCAATCTACTAAAAAAAACCTGATGGTATGAAAATGTACATTCTCTTTAATATTATGGTGGAGCTGCCAAGTGTTCATTGTGCTCTTTCAATCAACTCGTACTTCTGAGTATCTGCCAAAGGAATTTTTTTTTTCATTCATTCATTTACTTTTGACAATGGTCAACATGAATTTTAATTACCAAGGAAAGACCCAGTTTTATTTTTTTTAAATCCATTGAAAACATTTTGACAGGGAGTAGAGATACCTGTCTCTCCCCTTCAGAGCTTGCACAGATATTCTCTGACTTTCTTGTCCACTTCTTTAGTGGTGAAGAAAAGGGCTTTTTAGAGGCTTCTAAGCTGAAACTGATGGTGTATACAAAAGGTTACAATGGAGAAATTTAGTTTCTTTGCTTTTTTTTTTCTGGCCATGAGGTATAAGGATAACTTTGTACTTTGGAAGATCGGTGGAGTAGGTCTCCTTTTCCCCATCATATCCCCCAAGCTAAGCCTGTTTCTGGAATGAGGCTACCTCCTATTTTGTCTTCTTTCCTTTTGTATAGGGCCTTCTGAGACCTTGAAAGGTCCTAAAACTGGATGCAACAGCAGCGTGAGCTGGCAGCCGAGACAATGAGAAACACAAAGTTTTCCTTATACTTGGTGGCCAGCAGAGAGGAAAGACGGAATTAATTTTTCTATTGGGGCTTCTTATATGCATTCTTAGTTCCAATTCAGCAACCAACCAAATGATATTTTCTTCCCTACTCTGTAAGCTCATAAAATGCAGTCAGAGAATACCTGTGCTTGTCCTGAAGTAGAGAACCAGATATTTTCATTCCTTGTCAAAGCAATTTTAGAGAAGATGACTCACCAAATGTTCATGTGGGCCCCTTGAATGTTCTCCCAAGAATAGAATCTCACTGGCCAGTGCCCTATCTCATATGTCCCCACAGCTTGTTTTGCACATGCCCAGCTCACATAACTTGGAGGTTCCCAACTTCTTGGAGAAGAAAATGGGTGGAAGTAGGCTCCAAAGATTGCCTATATAGATAGAAAAGGCTGCATCTTCAAGACTGCCAGAATGGGGGCAGCTGGGTGGCACAGTGGATAGAGCACTGGCCCTGAAGTCAGAAGGACCTGAGTTCAAATCTGACCTCAGACCAAACACTTGACACTTACTAGCTGTGTGACCCTGGGCAAGTGACTTAACCCCCAATTGCCTAAAACAACAACAACTGCCAGAATGGGAAAATCTTGTTCTTTTTTATTGCTTATTCCATTTAGTCCATAAGGGTGAAGATCCCAGTTTACCCAAAGTATGGGTTCCATGAACTGAACAGGTGAGGAAGGGCTGGCTCCTTCCACTCTCCTTTTAGATCCTGTTGCCCCAAGAAATGGGCCTAAGGTTTTTGTTTGTTTGTTTGTTTCTGTCTGTCTTTTTTCAGTTTCAGGAACCAGCAATGGCAACCTAGCAGCCCAGATCACAGACTTCCACATACAGTAGAAGCAGCCATACCCAACAGAGAAACCCAAAGAAGCCCGGGTCCCTGGGACTTGAGACCAAGTAGGAGTTTAGGGTGTGGTATTTAGACTTGGAATATCGGACTGTGATCTATAGGAATTGAGGTAAGTGAATCTAATCTCCTTCCCCTCCCCAGAGTATAAGGTGGTACAAAGGAGGATTATGAAGCATATGTTGGGAAGCATGTTT